TTTTAATTTTTGTGTTTTTGTGTTTTTGTATGTGTTACACTGACCTGACTGGAGTCGTAAATGGGCGTTCGTCTGTGGCTATCTGGATAATTAATAAACAATAAACATGATATCAGGTTCAGTGTTCTCTTCTATAGTGAACGGGGGGGGGGGGGGCGGCAATGATACATAATTTTACAATTTATTTTGTATGACTAGATAAGTGAAACTTTGTTAAATATAAAGGTACTGTATTATAGAAAACTGTATTATTATAAAGGTACTGTATTATTTACAATTTACCTTGAACTTGGGCAGCCACTCATAGGCGGCGGAACGAGGGGGAGGGCTCCGGGGCACCGTGCCCCCTTTGATTTTGGCATTTTAACATTAGCCCTATGGGCGTTGCATGGAAAGAATAAGACAAAAAGTCGGCAGTGCCCCCCCCCCCCCCGCCTTAATTGAATGTGTTCTGCTGCCAATGCAGCCACTCGTGCTACCATGAACTGAAACCAGAAACGAATGTGCCCCATTCCAAGGCCCTCTAACCAGGTATGGACATCGGCCAATCGGGGCGAATCACGGCCGGCGGGAGGATGACGTCATCGGCCCATGCTCCGCCGACTCCGCCCACCCACGGCAGCGAAACTGAATGGGGTTTGCGTCAATTGTTTCGTGATCGATTTTATCCAACTGGAATGCAATAAACGTTCAGCGGCCTCTTAACCGTTTGACTCAATATCCTTGCAACCTTTCAAAAGCAAAAAATTGCAGCCAACTTTCTGTATTTTGCAGTCGGTGCCGACGGTGCCGACTGCTGTACCTAAGCCGTGGGCCCGCACGTAGCAAACGGGTAGACAGAAACTAGGTGACCAAAACACAAAACCAGCTGTTTTCATACACGTTCATTAGCATGTTATAGGCTGATATAAATGCGAAGCTATGCACAATGCACATGCGTGGCTAGACAGCATAGAAGTTAGAACCCAAAATACTGTCAACAAAATACTGTCAACTACTGAGTTCAAGCGCAGATCCAGCTTGGAGTTTGGGAGGGGGAGGGGGCAATTATGTTCATCGACGGCGGACATAGGGACTGTGTGGAACTCATTGTAGTTTTGGTTATCGGCTCGGGAACGGTCGACGGCCGGCTGCTGCTAGGTGCCTCCTCTGTCGTTTGACGGGGCTCTGGAGCACCTGCTAAGCTTCGGCTAACCGCTGCGGCTCCGGTGCCATCGGCTCAGAGACCAACAGGCTGTACCGGCCGGAACTGATCGGCGATTCTGATTCTGTTAGGCTGATTCTGTTAGTGCGGGAGAGGCAGATGGAGCCTGGCCGGTGGGTTCTGCCTCAACGCGGGGCTGATGGGGTAAGGTGCAGCCCATATACAAAAAAAAATTAAAAGCGTTGGAAATATCGCTTCACAAAGTCAGAGCATTTAGCATAGAAACGCTATGGCCTGATAGGAACTGAATGTCGTGGCGAATTTCGATGCTACCAAATTTCGGCGGGGGCTTGCATCCACCTGCCGCTGGTCAGCCGTGCCACGGACGCTCTGGGCTTGTCGCTGCCGGTGGTGGCCGAGCCGGCCGCGCTCTGGGCCGACTGCGCCGAGCCGCTGCGGCCATGGTGCCCGACCTGAACCAGTAGGTAGCTGACGCCGGAGCGGCGCTCGGCGAGGCCGGTGCTGGTCGGAGATAGGGCCGCTGCCGGCTGCGGTGTCGCGCGGTGCAGCTGCTCGGCACGCTGGCCACGCCGCCCCCACTGGCTTGATGGCAGACAGCTTGCAGGCGCAGCTGGCCGCTTGGAGTCAGCGGCCTGTGCTTGAGCTGGCCATGTCATTCGGCAATCGCTGACATGAAGACCAGCCAGTGACCGTATACATTCCTGCCGCGTGTCGTCCAGCTGGCGCTCAGCTCCGGCAACGCGGAGCTAAGGCCTCCGGGCTCCGCGTGCCAGCTTGCTGAAAGCCGTGACAGCGTTCACACTAGGAGAGCCGCTTGCTACGCGGCGCTATCACGAATAAGGCATTTACGCAATAATGACCAGTTCGAGTAGTAAAGGTTTCACGTTAGAGTTACATCTAGAAGTCTAAATGTACTTACGCGAAAAGGTGAACGAAGAATTTACCAAATGGGTAAATTGCAGATAAAAAGGTCAAATTAGGTCACGCTGGGTCATTTCAGGTCACCTCAGGTCACCCTAGGTCAGGTCAGGTCACAGAGGTCACCCAGGGTCACGATGGGTCAGGCCAAGTCACAGAGGTCACCTAAAGTCGCAATGGGTTGGATCACATTGGTCAGGGCTATCATGGGCCGATGACGTCATTCCTGCTCATCTCCTGCCTACAACATCGGCCTATGGCACAGCATTACGGTGTCACCCCCCTGCCCCATTCACGCCCTTCATCGCGAATCCAGCAGCTGTCGCAGCCTCTCTGCTAGTGAGTCGAGGCTGCTCTTCAGCCATCCGTCGCTTTGCTACTCATTTCTAAACACTGAACCGGTTCTCAGTGGGATTGAGGGAGGGTGACCACGGTGGGATCTAGACCACCTCCTGGTTTTTGCTGTTTTAGTCATATTTTTCCCAGGTTTATGTTTGTAGATATAAAACTTAGTCGGAATTCACTGGGATTGTATTGCGTATGCAAGTCCAAATATTTCGGCCAATATTGTTTGGCCTTGGTCACTGGACAACTACAATAACCCTATAAGTATAGCTCACATTGACCTATTCACCCTACGTAATATCGCTATCTGCCACCTCGCGGTTCCCTTGTCAAGCCGAACTCATAGGCGGCGGAACGGGGAGGGCACCGCGGCACCGTGCCCCCTTTGATTTTGGCATTTTAACCCTAGAACGCCTAGGGGGGGGGGGGGGGGTTGTATCAACCCCCCCCCCCGAGGTTTTTTCGAAGTGCACGCTAAACGGCTTGTCGTAGCGGGCTGAAATTTTCAATACCCTCTGGGGCAACCTTTGCGCATCTTTTGCCGAAAAAAAATTGATCGGGTCATGTCAGGTCACGGAGTTATGACGTCATAAGAGGTACAGCCTCCGGCCGACGTAACCAAACGTGTGCGCCGAATCCCTAGGGTTTCTGCCGGTGATACCCACATTGTTTGATGGATCATGATGAAACTCCCCATGCATGTTGGGGCAAGCATTGGCTATCGTGTGGTGCAAGAAAATTGACCGGGTCAGGTCAGGTCACGGAGCTATGACGTCACAAGAGGAACAGCGTCCGGAACTATTTTTGAAAAGCGCCCGAACCACTATTTTGCTAATTCTTGTCACCTCAATGGGAATATGCAGCAATATTAGCTTCTATAGGGAGCAAATGGACCTCCCAAATCCAAAAATACAATCAGATTTCAAAAATTTAAATTTTGATTTTTCGAATTTCTGCCGCCGACTGTGACCTTGCCGACTTCCGGCGCTCCCAACGCGCCATTTTTAGAGCTAGGGAAACGAAATACATACCAAACGATAGAGAATTGATCAAGGAACACGATAGTGAAGGTTTCAAGTCGATATCTCCCACCGTTTTGCCGCAATCGCCGCGGGAAGTTGAAAAAGGTTTGATTTTTTCGGAAAATTTGACCTTTGACCGGTCATAAGTAGGTCAAATGTTGACCTAGGACCAAAAAATATACCACCAATCGCGAGATCTCGTTGAGAGCAATCCGTTGGTTTTTTTCCGCTAAGCTCTACGACCTTCCGTTTCGAAACGCCAGGGGGGGGTCGTAACAACCCCCTCTTGGTCGTTCGTGTTATGAGAAATGGCCTTCGTGCGAGGGTTAACATTAGCCCTATGAGCGTTGCATGGAAAGAATGGGACCAAAAGTCGGCAGTGCCCCCCTTAATTGAAGGTATTCCGCCGCTACTGGCCGAACTGATGACACGCAATGGCCAGTCAGTCACAGCTCAGCTTCCTGCGGAACAGGAAGGCACATTCAGTGTTGGCGCCATCGTCTTTTCACTTTCTTTTCTTTGGTTTAACTTGATTATGTGAATGCCTCAGAGGGTACCCTTTTCGGCCGGCGCTGGAGCAGCTGACGGGCCGGGGCGGTAGCGCTCGGCCGGCCGGGTGCCTGGGGCGGTGACCGGCCGTCTGGGTCAGCGGTCGCGGCCGGTCGCTGGATCAGTCGCGTGGAGCGAGCGGCCGCACGGCATGTTTTTTAATCCCACCCAGAAATGACAAACAAGCTCCCTGATTGGCCAGTTGCCGGCCAGTTGGACTTGAGCGGTCGCCATGGTGGTATCGGGGACTCGGCCGGCATCGTTAGGTGTTGAATTATGTGTTTCGTTGTGCTAGATATTGCCAATTTGCTTTGATATTTGATAAATAACGTTGGCTCATTCTTTGGTGACCTTGCATACTAATACGACGATATTTTGATACCGATTATTATATGCATCAAACATCATGAGACAAATGTGGCGATTTCCACACCCTTTTGCAGTGCCCCCTCCCCTTGTGTAGTGAGTTAACAGGCTTGTAAGAACCAAGTGAACCATTTTTTAGTCAAGTGATCATGATCGTCCCTACATCTAATGGATAATAGTCTTGCGCAAACTTATAAAGTACTGGAGGAAGCAGAAGTTACGATTTTGGAGTACGCAAACTTGATATTAAAAAATCTCAGGTATTTTGGCTATATAAAGTGAGAAGAAAAGTTCAATTGATCATTTTTTATTACAATTGCAATAATGATAATATCATGATAATTGTACTGTCAGGTATTGATAATAGTCATGTCACGTCATGCCACTAACCAGGCACACAGACACAACACATTTTCATCTTTATGTATCTAGGCATAAGGTATTACAGGCATGTTTTTGCACACACCTCATGTGCGAGTGGGCATGGCCTCCTTCACAGTTAAGTTTTGGCTGATTGTGCTCAAATTTTTTAAGTACCTACATGTAAAGGGATGTAGATACAGTTAGTCGGGCACTCTTCTTAATTCAGTTTTGTGCACCACTTCCTGCTTTCACCATGCTGTGCCCATTCTGCTTTACAGTGGACAGCTGCTTCTGTGACACGCATTAATCTTGCGTTCATTGAAACACTTAGTTTTGAGTGTTTTGACTCAGTTTTGTTGTAACGTTACCTGTGTTTATATTTTCAATAACTTGTTTTGGGCTTCTCATATTTATCTTTTTTTCTTGGCTTAGCAGGTTTAGTGTAAAACAAGTTTTAGCTGACATTTTACATGTTAAGATTACATGAGTGCATAATTTTATAAAAGCTATTTCAAAGTACTGTAGCCATGTGTAACATGCATATGTCTTAGTGAATGAATACTCAGCATGCTGCTTGGTGCTCAATGGTAATAGTTTGATTTGTTTTTGACATCAAGTAATATTTGATTTTTGTTTCTGAGATTCCAATGTTATTTGTGGCAAATATTTTCCAAAAATCCTCTATCTAAAGCTTCAACTGAATTCTAAAATGCCTGCATTTTCTACCAGAAACATTATCATTGATACCTCCTACAATATTTCATTTTGTCACCAGGTACCTGGACTGGTGAAAAGTGAAATCTGAAATTCATTCATGTCACCATTATCCTACGACCTACCCCTAAATGGAATTGATCTTGTTTCACAAATGAGTTGTACATTGTACAATGTCTATCAGCTGATGTCTATTGTCTATCTCTCTTTCAGCACAGAAGATCCTCAGTCATAGTTAACAAAATGGAAAAAATTAGCTGTGTTTTTAAGATTCCAGTGGTGGCCATCAACTGCTCAGGAAAGCAGCCCAGAATCACTTCACAACAGGTATGTTGATGCATGTACATTGTACATTGACATCAATGTCTGAATGCTGAAGAATTGTTGAACAGGGAACACATTTACCTAGCCTCTAAAAACCACAAATCCTACATTACTTACATAAACATTACTTACAATAAGAGCTCGATGAGAACGGTTCCCTACAGGCCAAGTGGCCTCTAAATTCCGATCAAATTAAGGTAAGGTAAGGTATAAACATTTTTCTATAGAACTTATATTATCTACTTTCATCTGGCTAAGGCTTTTTTTACATTGTATTCCCTCTGTTAAACATGAAAATATGATGAGTTATAGACTAGTATAACAAGCTGGTAATTATATCTGCCTTGTCAGCTTGGCCAACATCTGCATCATGTCTATCACAAAATATGACTGCTTTCCTGACATTTGCATTGTTCCACTCACCAATTGACCACTTCTACCATCTGCTTGCTCTATGCACAGACATTGTCATAGGGTCTGTTCCAGTCGCACTTCCTAACACCTCTTAACTCCTCCAAGATTGCTTCCCTGTTCCAGTGGCAGCTTTCGCCCCTACAAAGCCAAGAAGGGCCCTGCTCCAACCTCCTCTATCTGGCTCTTTGAGGAGTTTAGATGTGTTAGGAAGTGCGACTGGAACAGACCCATAGCAAAACAGTTTCATCTCCCTGAGTCTGTACTGTCTTTTTCCAGGTTTCCAAAGGATCATCATTCATCAGCACAGAAGGGTGGGAAAGAGAAGGCTGTTCAAATTCTGAAAAGCCAGAGCTGCAAAGGAGGTCAAAGATGCAGTGCAGTTGGCCCACTCAGTAGAGTTTCACTAGTGGTTCTGATGTGGACTGAAGATTACACGCTGGATTGAAGTGGCCGGTCTGGAGCAGCTGTAGTTCACCATTCTTGCTGATTGTGGACGAGTAAGAGCCCGCGTTGGCCCCGATCGGCGATCGCTGGCCAAAGCCCACCACCAGTTTGGTGATAGGCGTTGGCTGTGATATCTAGTGTCGCCTATGTGTGAAAAGGACAAGTTGATAACAAAACCTGTTGCGCCATGTTATTAACCCGCGCCCGGGTGGCCCTCAGCCAACTTGGTGGGGGGGGGGGGGGAGGTGTATTCGGCCACACCAGGTTATCTTGGAATGTAGCAAAGCTGGAAAGACGCAGTAAAATCAATCTATAGATCGCTATTTTTCTTCAGAATCACACAGGTCATTTTTGATCAGGTCATCGCTGAGGTCACTGGAGGTCACCAAAAGTAAAATGATGACGAATTTTGGCCCCCGATTTTGACAACTTCACAAATTGGTTCATAATTCGGGAACCAAAGAAGCTACAGCGCCGCGGAAAAGCGAATTCGATAGCTCTTTCGAAAATCTTTCAGGTTCTCATATTTGAGCTAAGGTCAACTAGGGTTATGCCTCCAAATGGCAAAAACTGAACAATCAGCTTGCTTCGGAAGTCGTCTTTTCTTTAAAACATTTTTAAACTGATACCAACCTTTAATTACGTTGATTTTACCGGCACTGCGTTTCTCTCGTCTTCTTGGCCTAACAAGGTCAGCTTAATAAATTTGACCTCAGGTCAATGTCGCAGAAAATGCCATTTTGCATGTCATTGATTCGTTACATTGAAATTGAGATTAACATCAGTAGCGGCGGAACACCTTCAATTAAGGGGGCATTGCCGACTTTTGGTCTCATTCTTTATACATTCATTATACATAAGCTATACTAAGTTTCGTGTCGTTTTATCTATGCAAGCACAAAATTGTCAGGTGTGGCCAAAAACGCCCCCACGGCCCACCCACCTGGGGAACGTTAAAGCAGTGATGTATTTTTTCGGTGTATTCCACGATGCATCGATCGGTGTACTTGATAATGCATTATTTATTGCTGCGTGTGTACGCTTTTCCTCTGTTCAGTGTGATCTGTGAAAGGAAAACTACCGATATATCTCCACGCGTATGACTGAAAGAGCTGGCATGATCTATGATATTGGGTGTCTGTTTTTGTTTGGCATTTTATAAATACTGAGTCAGCTGTGATCGTTTGATGAGACACTGGGACAGCCGGCCTGTATGATCAGCGAACGGCAGGCGGCGGGGCGGTGGTCTGGTGGCTGCTGCATGGGACTGACCCAGCAGATTCAGAGCTGCGATACGCGGACGTTATGTTCACAATACCTTTGCAAAATAATATCTAATAGATATAATGTCCTCGAAAATGTTCCATCAATTAATATGATTTTACCTCCTGGCTTATTTCATGGGGGCCAAAACCGATCGTTTTATGCATGCCTTTTCTGGGCCTCGTTCTCCTCTAAATTCGTGTAGGTAGCAATTTTATTCAAGGGACGATTGAAAGTGCCTCCGATTGGTTTTCAGCGTAGGTGGGATCTGGCCGTTGAATGTGAGGCAGTCGATAAGGAACGTCGAGCTGGAACGGTCATTGGGTAGGTATGTGAAAGGCAGCAGTGGAAAACCAGGAAGGGAGGCGCAAGGCCCTAAATACAAGGTTGCACGGACTTATTTCTACTAAACCTACCAGAATATAGTTTCACGGTTGACTATTTAAATAATTATTCAATCAAAATTTCTTTATTATTATCTCGTAATCATTTATAAGCAATTTTATAAATCAACTTTCAATTTGCTTGCCTTTTACTAGCAAAATAACTTTTCTAGTATTGGGACAACATAGTAGTGTAGCAGTAGGAACCACATCTGGCAAAACCCCAATGCCTACATACAGCAGAAAAGCAGCCACCAGGTGTCGCCACAGTCGCCACTTGGTCGCCACACAGATGTCGCGCGCGTCGCCAATCGCCACACTACCGATTTCCATAAGGACGCATATGTACGGATATGTATAGGAAAGTCGCCCTTAAGGATTACGCTTACATCCTTTGCTTATGAGGTCGGTGGTTGGAAATTGGGAGGGGCTCAGCTATTTTCGACCACGGATATGCCTTTGTCACATGATGAGGAACATGCTGATGAGCGTTTTATGCGTCATAACAGCACAAAAGTATTTTTAATCATTTTTCAAAAATAGCCGTTCTGCCGTATCTTTCAGTGCAAGGTGCCGTCGGTCATCCCCGACGTGACGTCACGCAGGGAATTTGCCAGATTTTCCTACTAGACTTCGACACCCCCTGGGGAGGCGTTTGGTGTGAGGTTTCAAATGCTCTATGCATGAGAAAAGTTCATTTGATTATATGACACCGTCCTTTTTATCGCGATACGTGAGCAACGCATGAGACGCTCACTGTCCAGACTTGTAGCGTTAGAGACAGGCTGAGAAGGGCTATTTCCGCGAAAGGATATTCTGGAATTTGAATTGAAAGGCATTTAGTTTTGAAAGCATCAGTACTTCTTAACACGATACCGAATCATTTAAAATTTCAATTTTTCCCCATTGCGATAACATAAGAAACAGAGACTGCGGTGTCCCCGCACGCAGGATTCTGGAGACTGTCAGGCGGATGTTAGTAGCTAAAAGCTTTTGTTCTTTATTTAACAGATAACAATCATTTCTTTTAATACTTTGTAACACCTAACTCACTAGAAACAATCTGTACGGGCTTCCAAAAATGTTATATTTAACATGTTAGATCCATTACAATATTTTAGCTGCCCTAACCTGTAAATGTAACGGATGCGTCATTATTGAAAACGTGCGAAAGCATAGTATTCTATTGCGGACAAATATTCTGCGTCTGTCAGCTAAAACTGGCCAATCAGAGGCCTTGTTTGTCATTTCTGGGTGGGATTAATAAACATGCGCCGCACGCGCGCGCATGAGCACCGCTGGCTGTTTGGTGATATTTTTGCGAACGGCATCGAAGAGTATTTCGTGGTCTTGAACGCCAAATACAATACATTGGATAAAAGGCCGTTAACTCTACACTTAAGCAGCAGCGGCGCCTACATTCAGTGAGAGTCGATGGTCATTGACTTTGTCAATATTATTGACACGGTGACTAAAGAACGGTTATATTGCGCCAATAATGTTGCCAGTAGCAGCACCACCAATCTTGTGAACTAAAATCACTTGACATCGGTGAAAAGAAACCCTGTAGCTTTTTTCAAGCAATACGCGAAATAAAGGGAAATAGAAAAACCGAAAACCCAAATATTAGCACTAAATAACATCGATCTTAAATTTTGGCCAACATTTTTAAAGCATACATCAGAGGAGCTGTTGGCGGCTTACCGTCGCGTCTGTGATGATCTCTGAGTCATGTCGCATCGTCCGTTTTGTTACGCCCGGTAGTTCAGCGGTGAGTCGCTGGCAATCTGGCTCAATGATTCAACCCCTCAGACGCCGGCGGGCTGTGTGGCGAATCACCTTTTACAAATGTCGGGTATTGATAGCGTCATTCAGCATATGTCGGTAGGCGCTAATACATAGAGTTTTGGTGATAACCTGTTTGTTTTCAGGGCGCTGGAATCAGATGATATATCTCCCATAGGTATGAGATAGTGAGGTTGTTGATGGTAGGTATCTGACGAGTGTTGTTTCCCAACTCAGAATAATTGTAATGTGCCATCGATTGTACCTTTTACCGCAACCCTGTCGATACCTATATTGGAAGGCTTGCCTGAGCTAATAGTCTTTCATTTAGAGAAAAAAGTCCTTCACTTATTAAAATCGTTAGGCATGCTGGTTCTGTTGCTCATCCCTTATCTACAGGCTACAGCATCGGCGCGGCACACGTCTTGGTGATTCCTGCTCTGTTCCTCCTGTTTCGTTTTTTAGCCGTCAACCTTGAAATTTAGGTACCACTTTCCTAACAACTCAACAGGAAAAAATGGAACGCGATATTTGGGAAAAACGTATGTTTCCGAATTGTTTTATTTCTTCTTAAGCAGTTTGAACAAAAATAGAAGTCATTTCTCATTTGAAACTACCCCAATTATCACGATATGATAGTGCCCGTCATGGGTGTAGAAACGTTTTCAAAGTTGGTGTGGAGTTTACAGCCATTCTCGAAAACTACCCCCATTTTTTGCCAACTCCAAAATCTCATCGGATCTGCATCCATCTCAGGGGGTACTCGGTCGGAGGTTGGGGGAGGCAAACTGCCCCGCTTGCCCCCCCCCCCCCCGTGGCGACGCTAATGGTGTTGAAAGCCTGCACTGGCTATAAGAGCTTAGAGGAGGTTTGAGCAACCACTGGAACAGACCCTATCATGCTCAAGCTCGGGTGGAAACGCCAATCAGCTCGTTTATCGCCTTGCCAATCAGCTCATAGACCCGGGAACAGGGGGGGGGGGAGCGAGGGCGATTGCCCCCAACTTAAGAGCCGAGGGGGTGACGCCTCCCAACATTCATGCAGCGAGGAAGGATGATGATGATGATGACGACTACATCATCATCTCTTTTTGATGATGACTACACCGAACAGTAGGTAAGCAGAAAACTGAAGTGGTCGAATTTCGACTCGAAGAGAGGGTCCGTCATTGGAACAAAGCGTAAATACCGCTCAGTTTTCGGCCCTAAGAAGACCCTATCATCTTGCCCTATCTCTGAACTCATTCATAGTTTGATGACTACATCATCATCTCTTTTTGATGATGGCTACACCGAACAGTAGGTAAGCAGAAAACTGAAGTGGTCGAATTTCGACTCGAAGAGAGGGTCCGTCATTGGAACAAAGCGTAAATACCGCTCAGTTTTCGGCCGTAAGAAGACCCTATCATCTTGCCCTATCTCTGAACTCATTCATAGTTTCGTCGCAACCGGCAAAACGCCAGTTAAAAAAGTGTAATGTGCGTACAGGGCATGCATATCTAAGCTCCCTGTCCTTCGAGGTCCTGAGGACGATAGCGGAAATTCTGTGACGATAAACCAAGAGAGGTGGTCGAGGATCCTCCAGTGGTTCTTCCGCTCGCCGCAGCGCAGCTGTGCCGACACCATCAAACAGCAGTGGTTTCCGCAGGATGGAGACCATGCTTGCACCGTCCTGAAGACCATGCATGGTCTCAGAGAGTGGATGTGAAAAGTTTTCCTTGCATATTGTATCAAAATTTTGACCGAATTTGGAGTGGGAAGGGCTAAAATTGGTCTGGGCTAAATCAGTCTTGGCCCAAACCCACCCATTCAACCATTTGGACAAAATTTCTAAACAAAATAGGCTAACTTTTATTTCATACCAAAAGCGGCACATTCGGAAACCGTGAATGCTGGTCTTGTGTCTACCAGCAGAAGATTCGCGAATATCAATCCACTGCTAGATTGACGAGCACGCACGTTTCTGCAATGTTTAGACAACATTATCTTATAAATAAAAATTATTCACTTTTTTTAAATGTAATATATCACAAAAAGGCAAGCAAATAAAGTCAAAATGAAGCCACTGCCAGCTTTTACAAAAAAAAAATACAAAAAACCAAATGCATGAAAACGGTCTTT